CCCCCCCGTACTTCCCCTTATATTTTCCATTCCGCGGAGCCCTTTTTCCCAACCCGTTTCTCTCCCTGTGACTCCTTCCCGTGTATGCCTGGCGCCGACCGGATGGTGCTATCGTTGCTGTCTCCCCCTTTTTATTCTTTCGGAAGGCTGACGCTGCCTCTTTCGTGGAGAGGGTCAACGGGCTCTCCTTGCCGGGCCGCGGCGTGGTGAAAGCTCTGTTTCTGTCGGGAGCGGAGGTTGTCCCAGCTGCAGGGAGTGGTTGTGGTGGTGGCGACGGTGGGGGCGCCGACGGGGCCGATGCGGTAAGGGTGTCGTAGTGAAGGCAGTAAGGAACAGGAAGCACGATGCCGAGGGCAGGGCTCACACAGCCAGGTTGGACAGAAAAGAGACCCCCACGGTCGAGGGAAGGCCGCCCCGTCACGCTATCTATAGTGGTAAAGGGTGAGATTCATACGTGCTGGAAGTGGGACTACAGAGACAACGGGAAGCTGTCATCGTTTTGCGGTCTGTTTTTTTCTTTATTGCCATGGTCGAGACCGTCTCCTTCCGGCCTTGTTCTAGTGTCGCACCGCTGTTTGGGACGAGATATACGCACAAAACGTGTTTTTTCACATACTGTTGTTGTTGTTGTTGTTGTTGTTGTCTTCACATTAAAAACCATCCCGGTCTCTCTATCCAGTACCTCCTTCTGTCTCAATCTCTCCGTACTAATCCATCACTTGACTCGGCCGATTTCCGTGGTCACAGGCTAACGTACCTAGAAAAGGTATACCAAAATAAAATGGACCCCACGGGTCAGCAGAGCGATAAAATACAAGAAAACAAAATAATCAGAAACAAATAAAATAAAATAAAATAAATAATTAGACTAGTGGAACGGCCGCACCACCAGCCTGGGGGGGTAGCCTCCCACTACATGGAGGCAGGTCGACGGCCAAAGGAAGGGGCGGGGGTACGTGCCAGTAAAAAACAAAACAAAAGACAAAATAAAACAGAATAAAGCA